CTGAGACATATCCTCCTGTCTGAGGACTTGAGGGATGTTGATGAGGGGATGGACGAGACGGTCGAAGATGTCCATCGCGGCTACACCCTGACAAACGGTTTGTCACAAACCCCATAGGAACTACAATGGGAGAGCACTACTACTAAGGCCGCTCCCCGCACCAGTACTACGGTCAATCCCTGCGACATCACTACTACTAAGGCCGCTCCCCGCACCAGTACTACTGTCAATCCCTGCGACATCACTACTACTAAGGCCGCTCCCCGCACCAGTACTACGGTCAATCCCTGCGACATCACTACTACTAAGGCCGCTCCCCGCACCAGTACTACTGTCAATCCCTGCGACATCACTACTACTAAGGCCGCTCCCCGCACCAGTACTACGGTCAATCCCTGCGACATCACTACTACTACGGCTGCTCCCCGCACCAGTACTACTGTCAATCCCTGCGACATCACTACTACTAAGGCTGCTCCTCGCACCAGTACTACGGTCAATCCCTGCGACATCACTACTACTAAGGCCGCTCCCCGCACCGGTACTACTGTCAATCCGTGCGACATCACTACTACTACTACTACTACTACTACTACTACTACTACTAATACTACTACTACTACTACCGATATAAGCTCTCCACGACCGTCAAGTACTAGGGTACATGTACCAGTGGACTCGCTGGTCAACTCCTTCACATTGGTGGTAGGCACCCCTATCTGCCGAAGACGCCTGAGAGTATCCCACCTCCCCATCGTGGACCCAGCGCAGACCATCCCTACTGCATCAAGGCTTCCCCATGGCTATCCCGACCGACAGCTGAGATAAGACCAGGTGTCGCCCCCAACATCGCCATGCTCTCTGCCAAGGAGAGGCCGACGCCTCCAGTGGACATCGACAGAAACCCTGGGACAGTAGACTCCTGATATCAACGACACAGAGCCCCTTCCCACGACTACACAGCCCATGGATAGTCTCACCTGAGCCCCTGCACTCGTTGGGTCACTTGCCTTAGCAGTGATGTCCATTGCTATCCCTCCCAACACCGCCACCGCCCCAGGGCCTGCCGCCACGCCTCTTTGCCGGAAGAACTACATCAACACTGTAGACTGTTACCAGGAAAGGATACTACCCTCTGATGATAGGCTACTGCTATCTGGCTGGCGACCATTGCATTGTTCTTAATAAGACACAGATTAGCCGCTAAGCTCTC